AACAGAGAGAGAGAGAGAGAGAGAGAGAGAGAGATCGAATGTTTGTGAAACAATCGTATAATTATATAGTCAGCTTTTACGATGAACATTTTGAGATGGCTTTTGAGATTAGGAATTACGAGACAGCGGAGAACTGACCCCAATCCCTGGAACATATTACATGTAGTCTACATTGGTTTTAACTGTTTGGACGGTTGGCTTGATACTTATTTATTTTCTACTTTTCTCATACGACTTCTGTTGTGTTCGGAATTTTGATTTTGATTTTTTTTAAAAATTTAATCGATGTTGGGTTTTTTTGGGTGGGAGGGGAAGGGGTTGTCTATTTTGACACATTAGGCTTTTCTGAATTGAACAAGGTAACCAACATACATGATGTGTTCAAAGAAATCTTTGAAATTTGGAATTTGTCTCGACTATTTGCCCCACAGAGGAGAGAGCAAAGCATTTGCCTTTTCATGCATGTCAAAATCATTCACGTTCATAATATTATTGATATCCTCTCTTACTACTTCTCTTACTTTCTTTTTTTTTTTTCTTTTTTTTTTTTTTTTGGTTCCCTTTTCTGTGATCTTGTTTTATAAGGAGAAGGTCAGGATGAAAACTCTGAACGACCCTTTTGTAATGTGTGATATAAATAGGTCCTATTCAAAGATCTGAAAACCTATTTATTATTTCGTACTTCGTACCCAAAGGCAGATTGGGTAATTCTCAGCGCTCAGGTATAATTAGAATCCCCACAACCGCTTCCCGAGTGTACCCGTGTCAGAGGTCATGCTTTGCCCAGAGAAGGAGAGATAGTTTTTATTTTTTAAAATTGCTCTAAAGAAAGCCAAGGTCTCTGTTATTAAGGTCTACGCAAAGAAGAAGAAGAAACACAGCGACAGCAGATATTTTCTCTCGTCATCCAGATGTCACTTTGTTGAAATATTAACGTTCCTCTGACTTTGTCCAGAGGTTTCTCCATTACATTAGTACATTTCGCAGATACCTGGGGACTGGGGACTGATGTTCTCGACTATCGGTCAGGTCCATATAGTATAATAATATATATGTGAGACGGCGTGGTGAAATCAGGCGCTCGTCAAAATAATCAAAGTGAAGAAACTGGTATTTTTCGCACGTTTGTGAATTTTTATCTTATTTTGTTTTTTGGCTCAACACCTTTCATGCCCGTTTAAGAACACATTTCGGTGTGGATTTTACTGAAAAACGTTGATTAAAGGCACAACAAATGTAAAGTTTCAGTTTCCACGGACTCTAAAGCTAAGAAAAAACTCATCATTGGCGCCATTTTTTCACTAATTTTACCTCTGCTGAAACCAGGTGACCCTCACATCCTTCATTTGCAATTATCTCGACTTCTATTCAAGATAAATGATATTGTTTCCATCCAAAGCAAGACAAATGAACAAGCTTTAAGATGATACCAATAACTCTACATGCCCAAAAGTTGATGAGAGCCTGATTCCACCACGTCCTGACACATATATTTGATATGGCATGTCCACATTATGAAGAAGCAACACGAACATCTTAATTGTTTTTCTTTGTGGTGGTGTACGCCGTCCACTTTCATATGATCACATGTCCATGTCCTGTATTTGTGCATATATAGTAACCATGTTTTATGCTAGCACATGTAGTGGGAAAGGCAGTGAGTGAGTGAGGGAGGGAGGAAGAATGTGATGCGTCGTTGTGATGCCTTCTATGTATGATATTTTTGTGTCAGAGAAGCTAGGTTAAGCAAACGTCAACTTCTTCCTATGGAGGAGAAAAAAAACGTATATTATTATCCTGTGGTATCTAATCTTATCTTACATGCACTTTTCAACAAAGTGTTCTTTTGAGTGTGGTCACAGAAGAGAGTACATTTTCCTTTTCTCTTCATGTGGATGGAAGAAATAGACTTTTTGCTAGCAAGTTGTTGGTAGCTTTATAATATTACTATTAATACCATATTATGATAATACATACATTATGTACTTGCATTTGACCAAAATATGTAGATTGAAGAGATTTTGTGTGTGTATGTATATGTGTGTGCGCACGTTGCGTGTATGTGTGTGTGTGTGTGTGTGTGTGTGTGTGTGTGTGTGTGTGTGTGTGTGTGTGTGTGTGTGTTAGTATGCATGCTTGTAGAATAACTGACATGTCTATGCTGATATCTCCGTGAAGAGAAGCGTATACTAAGAGTTATTTGCCAATATTATAATATTATTATTAATGACATGACACAGGCTATATCAAATCATGGTAGCTTGAAATGACATCGTGCACACTTCAGTGCGAGGTGAGGTGTGATTATGTATGATATATTGATTGATACATGTTGACATATTAACAGAAACATTTCCTTTGAAAGATTTTCAATTCGATACCCTTTCGGTTTTAAACCAAAAGACTAAATATACTGTCCATCCCAACATGCTATTTGTAAATCCATGTTGCCTATTAGGCTTATGTACTTTATCCCCTTTTTAGTGACAGTGAAGGAGAAATACTAAAACAAAAGTATTATAATCTAATAAACTGATGAAAAGATTCTGGGATTAGATAACAGTTTTCTAAAAACAGTCCTTAAACCCTGATGGTTTATATGTTGTCAAAGTCCGATTTTTTGTGTGAAGTGAAACAATGTTGTTGTTTTTTTTTTTCTTGTATGCATATTTATTCCGTTGTATTCTGCTCTATAAGGAATCAACAACTCTTGCCTTCTATCATTCTAACATTGTCCGCGAAAATGAGAAATGAGTGTGTTTAATGGGTTGGGTGTCATTTTACCTTACAATGTTCTTGCCCCAGACCTGATTTAATAATCATTTTATTGGTCAATTTGTTTTTTGTGTTGTTGCTTGTCTTTGTTTTGTGTTTGTTTGTTTGTTTGTTTGTTCATTCGATTGTTCGCTGGTTTGTTTGTTATTGAGGAGTTGTTTTATTTTTATGGGAGTGGGGGGTAGGGATGTTTTTTTACCTCACAGAAGTTGTAGGACGCATTATGAGCAAGCCATGCATGGTACCCGGTACGCCAATAGAAAGAGATCTATGTCAGGGTGGTTGGCGGGTGCTCTGGTGTGGTTTGCTTCTTCTTTCCTATCAAACATCTATCCTTATCTCCCCTTCTTCTTTTTTATGTTCGTTACTCTCTTGTAACATCTCTAATCTTCTGGCGCTCATATGACCTTATGCAGTTGCTAGCGCCGTATTAGACCTCTACTAAAGCTAACTGAGTTCGTCATTTAGATTTTGTAACACTCTATGTTCTCTTTTGTCAACAAACAAAAAAGGAAAAATTAATAGTTCCCTGAAAGATAGCAAGTCATCTTTTCCTCACTATTACTAGAAATCAGGGATGCCAAAATGTCCGGTTTTTCCGTGTTTTTGTTTTTCGGGTTTTTTCATCCGTTGGAATTTTTCATCGTCGGCTTTCGTTTCTTCAACGCGAGTTGAGAATCCGTTTTTGTTTGCTCATTTAAAAGCTTTACAGGGTTCGGTTTAGGTGAGATTTGATGCTCCGCTCATTTTCAGGGTTTTTTCCCAAAATCATTTGGCATCCCTGAGAAATATTAGAGCGTAGGCAAGGTTTAAAAGCGTAAGGGGAGAAAACAGAAAGATATCTTCCATTTTGGCTACTACGATTCGATTTAACTCCCCTTGATCTGATAACTTCCTTTTTTTTGACTCGATAGTCTATAAGGCATCAGAGTGTTTGTTTCTTTTTCTCGGTCCCTCTTTTTGTCTGTCTCTCTTTCTGTGAGAGAGAGAGAGAGAGGGGTAGAGATAGATAAATAGAGAGAGAGAGAGGGAGAGAGGAGAGAGAGAGAGAGAGAGAGAGAGAGAGAGA